TTCTATAATATACTATTTCCATAGATAAATAAGTATAAATAGATGACAAACACCGGCCGCTTTGACGTTACATCAATTATAATTCTTTCAGCATTCAATAGATGTCGCCACCAACTGTAGCACGTAAAATTTACCATTAGGTTCAATTCTAGATAAGATTTATTTGAATATATAATATAGAAAAGATACTCCTGATTAATTTGACTAAATGAAATTAGAGGCAAAATATACGCGTATCAAATATATTTCAAAAAAATCGCAAATATGTTGTAAGAAATCTATGATGAGAAAAAAATTAAACATTTTTTCATTCAAAAACTATATAATTTAATATATATAAAAATATAAAATTCAATTCAATTCAAAGACTATATATTTCAGTATATAAAGTATGTACATTGCATTTATATAAACATGGGTTTTTACCCGTAGGTATTGTATCCTTCATTGATTTGGTTTTGCAAACAATAATTAATTCAGAATATATAAGTTAATTCATATTCGTGTGACAAAAAAGAGGAAAGAAAATTTATCCCCAAAAAAAAAAAATCACTTAGCACTATTTATAATAACACATAATAAAACATAAAAAGAGAAAAAAAATAATAAAAATTTATTCACTCTGAGAGAGAAATTTGTGTTGAGCCAATTTTCGTTTACCGCTATGGGTCGATCAGTATATATTTTGGCATGGCGTGATTGCCATACCAAATATCGTCTCTTGTGTATTGGCCGAGGCCCGCGATGTTAACATTAGGATGATCCCCACATTTCAGATAAAATTTTCAGTGAGCTTTTTTATGTAGTCGAGTATTGTCGGTACGTCAGTCTGTTTATGTATGTATTTTGAAGAGTAGTAATGTCTAGTCAGTGGGTCCCTTATTTTGTTGAGTACGAGTCGTAGTGTCTTATTTTGTAATGTCTGTAGTTTCCGTAAGTTAGTCTAGTCGTCGCGTTCCATGCCGGAGCGCCGTATGTCAGTATCGGTCTTATTAGTGTCAAGTAAAGTGTCGCTTGTTCTTCACGCTTAGCGGGCTGTTGTGGTTCAAGAGAGGTCTCAGTAGATTTAACATCCCGTAAGCCTGTCCAATTTTCGTATTAATATGTTTTGTGAAGCTGAGTCTATGGTCCAGGGTCACACCAAGATATTTGACATCTTTGGACCACTCAACTTCACAGTTTAATACTTTAATTTTGTCTAAGTCAGTCAGTCTAGTCGTGGCATTTCGGCTCTTAGTAAATAAAATTGCCTCCGTCTTTTGCGGATTTATCTTGATCTGCCATTTGTCAGTATATTTCGTCAGCTTGTCTAAGTGTGTCTGTATCTTTGTAGTCAGTAGCGTCGGTGATCGTGATGATTTGTATATGGCAGTGTCGTCAGAAACGTCAGTAAGGTGGTGTCGGCGTCAGTGGGTATGTCGTGAATGTAGACGTTAAATAGTGACGGTCCCAGGATCGAGCCCTGCGGTACTCCCGCCGTCACTTGTTAACCGTCGAAAGTCCGTTGTCTACTTGTACGGTAAAGTTACGGTCTGAGAGGTATGAGTGTAATGTTCTTGTAATGTATGGTGGAAAATTCAGTTGTATAAGTTTATGTATAAGTCCGTCCATCCAGATGGTGTCAAACGCCTTCTCGAAATCAAGCAACACCAATCCGGTATGGTTTCGTCTGTTAAAATTGAGAACTGTATTTTCTATGAGTTTTGTCAGTGTGTGTAGTGTGGAGTGTCGTTTTTTTGAAGCCGTATTGTGTGTCAGGTATGATTTTGTTGTGTCTTATGTGCTTGTTCAGTCTTTTGAGTAGTACCTTTTCGGCTACCTTACTCATGTGTTGAGGAGGCTGATCGGTCTGTAGTTCTGTGGTATGTCTGGCTGTTTCCTTGGCTTCACTATTGGAAATATGGTGGAGGTTTTCCAAGGAGCGGGAAAGCAGCCTTTGTCATTATTCTATTTATTATCGGGTAAGTAAAATGTAGGCGTTTCGTCGGCAGTTGCTTAAGTATGTTTTGTAGTCCGTCCGGTCCTGGTGCTTTTCTGTTCGGCAATTTTTTACTATTGTCTTTATTTCAGAAACTGTGGCAGGGTCTATTCGTAAGTCTTTGTCCCTGTGGAGGTCAGTGAAGTTTTGAATTGTCTCGTGTACGTCTTGTTTCAGGTCTGCGTTTGACATATTGGCATTTTGTTTATGTGTGTCCTCAAAATTTTTAGCCAATATTTCCGCCTTGTCTGCTGGTGTCGTTGCGTAATTGTTGTCGGTTAATTTTAGTGGAGTATGGATGTTGGTTTCCGCGTCAGTCTTTTTGCTGTCTGCCAAATTTTGTGTGGGTCAGTATTTATGTTCTCGAGTCTTTTGGTCCAAGTGTTGTTTCGGTAGTCACGTATTTCATGGAAATAATTTTTGTCAGTCTGTTAACATGTTCCTTGAGTAGTCTGTTCACCGGTACGTTGCCACAGTTTCTTTCGTTGTATGATTTTTTTAAGTTGTATTTTCAATAATTGTGTCGTGGCAAGTGTGTTGTTGGTTGGTGTTGTTCTTGAGTCTAGTGTCGGTATAGTCTGTTGTACAGCGTCTGTGATTGTCAGTGTTAGGTGTGTTACAGCCTCCTCAATGTCAGTGTTGGTATCGATTGGCATAGTGTGTCGTGTGTTGTCTGTGATGATGTGCTCTGAAAATTGGCCAGTTGGCTCTGGTGTAATCTAAAAATTTGCGTGTGGGAGTCTGGTCTACGTCTAGTCCGTCTGAAATGGTCATGAAAAATGGATTATGGTCGGAGTTAAAAAGTGTTCTTGTTATGGGTTCGGATGTTAGTGTAGATTTTTTGTCAATGCCAATCGATCGTACTGTGATGGTGCGTCTGTACGGTGGCGTATCTGGTCGGCGTGTCAGGATATGTAGTTGTGCGTCTGTGGTGTTGTGTTCGGTCAGGTATTCGTAAAGTCTGTTTCCGTTCGCGTTGTTGAAGTTACAGTTCCAAGTTCTGTGTTGTAAAATATAAAATTGGTAATTTACGTGTACTATATCCAGAGAAACTGTATTTTAAACTGTGTGTGCTGAATTTGAAGCACACTAGCACCATCTGTTGAATGCTGAAAATACTCAAACCGTGTATTAACGTAACGCGTATTTGTTCTATGTTTACCCCCCATGACTATTTCTGTAGCCAATGATTCTCAAGAACAAGTTTTATTTGTAAATTTATTTTATTTGGTCAGTAGTAATAAATATATTTTCAACAATTTTAATACAAAAATATAAATATACCCATTCTAATACAAATTCAAAATCCCAATTTTTACACCTCGTACGGTGTTTTTTTTTGAAAAAATATATAATTAATTGAATATAATTAAGTAAGTAATAAAAAAGTAACTGCGTCCAATAATGAGGTAATTTATATGAAACTCGTCAGTTAGCAAAATATCTAACACGGATGGGTTATGAGAGTTTATTAACACAATACAGGAATGACGAATTAGATGGAGAGCCGTGACCAAAAATATCACAATAAAAAAATTATTCGAAAATTTCACGAAACGCCATTTACACTTGAGATCTGTAACTTCAAGTGGAAATTTTGATATCCTACTGCTTGATATCGAGCTGTCCGAGGTCGGGATCAAAACCGAGACTAGTTTGTGCTAGCCCACGTTTTTAACCATTACACCTCGGCGGACTTATATACATATAAAAATGAATAAATGAATAAATAACAGGCAATGACAACCTTGGGACAAATATACTATTTAGTTACGATAATTGTGAACTATTTTCAAAAATATTTACTGT